CCCCCACTGGATTTACTTGACTTTCTCTGTCTCTAGCAAGTTTGATTGCCTGGCTGGGTGGGATATTGTATGTTCTCAGGGTATCCTTCACACCCTGGACACAGGTCTGTCTCGGTCTTCCTCTCGCCCACTGGAAAGTTCCTTTACTGCTATGTCTTTTTTGGTAAATTACTAATTCAAGTAAAACAGCGAACCCAATGGAAATGACACAAGCGAGAGGTCATACGTACCCGTTGTGAAGGTCGCAGTGGGCGTGTGGAATGGCGGACATGTTGCGGGCGTTGCACATGTGTACATGGGCCGGCCCGCAGGCAGCCAGGTGACTGTTGTGATTGGCCAGCGGGCAGCTGGTGCAGCTGGTACAGCTGAGTGGTCCCCCCTCCCCCCAGTGACCGCTGGTCAGCACGCTCGGGTCAGCACGCTGGATTCGGCCGCGTTTACGCGACTCGCGGATGTCTGAGGAACCAAAAAAAAAAAAGAAGTTAAAATTGTACAAAATTTTTTTACAACATTTTGCCATCACATCTCACCGATCGACAATGTTTACCTCCCAGTTTCTTTGGATTTTCCCCCAAATGACTTTGCCTTTGATGGCAAGGGTTTTTACTACATGAGCCTTGTGATGGCAAAGTGGTAATGTAGGTGTTTTTGAGCCACCCATCCACACAATTTAGGTCATATAAGTGCCCTAGAATAGAGGTGCTACAAGAGAGTAACAAACACAAAACAGAAGGAGGGGAGACAAAGACGATTGTTTGATAGGAAAGAAGGAGCAAACCATACCAAAACACCTGCCAACCACCCACTCACACACTAACTCTCAGAGTAAAACACTCAACAACATCTTTAACAAGGGAAAAATGTACAAGTTGTCACACCCAACCAGAGACACGCCACACCGACATACGTACCTTTCTTGGCATTTTCCAAAATCTCCACGCAGTCGAAGCGATTCATCTTCTGCAGGGCGTCCATGACGGCATTGACCGACGCCCCCTGGACCGTGTCGTACTCGGTGAACAGAGCCTCCGTGTTGTCCATTTGCTTGGAGCGAAAGTACTGCACGAGACGAGATGAGAGGAGATAACATAAGTACGGCACAAGACGAGACGAGAGGAGAGGAGATAAGTACTGTACAATACGAGATGAGAGGAGAGGAGAGGAGATGAGTACTGCACAAGACGAGACGAGAGGAGAGGAGAGGAGATAAGTACTGTACAATACGAGATGAGAGGAGAGGAGATGAGATAAGTACTGCACAAGACAAGATGAGAAGAGATAAGATAATCATTTGCTTGGAGCGAAAGTACTGCACAAGATGAGAGGAGAGAAGAGAAGATTTATAAGTACTGCACAAGACAAGATGAGATAAGAGAAGAAAGGTACTGCACAAGACGAGACAAGATGAGAAAAGACAAGTACTGCACAAGACGAGACAAGATGAGAAAAGACAAGTACTGCACAAGACGAGACGAGAGGAGAGAAGATAAGATTATAATACTTTACTGTCCCTTTGGGAAATTTTCTGTGGCTGTACAGGAACGGCAAAAGTAAAAGTAAAAACATTTGTAGGTTTTTATATATACAGAGAATTTCAATTTTATATATTGCTTTCATAAAGAATTTCAATATAAAGAGAAAAATGAAGCTGACAAATAAAACTACACGTCTCATCAGATGTTCTCAAACCATAGGCAGGAATTTATCAAATTTTGAAATTTAAAAACATACATATCCGTGTAATATAACTTGTACATCGACAGAAAACGCACACACATGCAGTGAAAATAGAAAGTATTGTTTGCAATCAAATAATATATCATCATCATCATCATCGGACTTATCATATTTCAGGACATGTAATGTTTTAATGTATTGCCATTTTTCTTCAAGAGTGGCAATATTATTAGTTTTTTTTTAAAGCCCTGTGCAAACACAGGATAACTTAAATAAATGATTTACAGGAACGTGGTCTACAAATTGCTTATTTGGAAACAGCGACACCACCCCGCTCCCCACATTCGAGTGTAAGCTTGCAGATTTCATCCCACAACTGTCTAGACTTGTCCCCGTGAGTCTCAAAAAGTGCTCATCCATTTGTTGGACCAAGTTCCTTAGGTGTACTTTCAAGAATGATGTTGATGAAAATAGGCACAACAATTTTTATGTACCAGGTACATGCTGTAAATCCCATATTGTTTTTTACCCAGTTAAAGCTAACATTAAGAAATACGTGTTGGAAACTCAGTTTGCAGCGACCTTCACAAATGGGCTTTTCATCCCTACTGATCATCCAACTTTTTTGCCCAAATGATCATCCAACTTTTTGCCCCAAATGATCATCCAACTTTTTTACCCAAATGATCATCCAACTTTTTGACCCGTATGCAAAGGTCAAAGATGATGTACTCAGAGCAATTCGATTTCATTTTGTGTTCATCGGGGTCAGAGGAAAGTGAACAAGTCAGAGAAGGACGAAGGACTTCCTCCGCTCCAGTCCTGGTGTGTGAGTGTGAGTCATTCCCCCCACTCTACCACTTGACACACAACCCTCAACAACAAGAAACAGCTGAGCCCACAACTCTTGAGAACACTACAGAGGGGGGGGGGGGACCTCACTGCTTCTGAGGTGAATTCACAACAAAGTCATCAACGAGAACATGGCCGCTGAAGTGCACACAGAAGGTCAGAAATCAAAAAAGAAAGGGGGAAATGAAAAGTTTTAGTTTTAGTAAGAGTTTTACGACACTTGCAACACAATAAGGTCATATAAGTGGCGAAGATTAGAGGTGTTACAAGAGAGTAACAAACATAAAAAAGGAGGGGGGAGAGATCAGGACGATAGATGTTTGACAGGAAAGAAGGAGCAAACCAGACCAGAGCACCCGCCAACCACCCAGAAAATAAAAAGAAAGAGGCAAGTAAAAGTAAGAAGGATATATAGGTCTAGAAAAGAGACAAGTGAAAAGAGTGAAAGAAAAAAGAGAGGGGAAAAAAAAGAAGAATCTACAAAAGAGAGAACAATCCTGCAAGCTGCACACATCCACAAGTGGAAGTGGAGCCTTTAAATGTCCAAAATGTGGCAAACTTTCCTCGGCCAGAATTCTCCCATCGACCACAGCAGAAGCCACAAGTCATCGTAACCTTTGATTTTTCACATTCTTCTATTTCTCTGGAGAAATATTCTCCTCTGCGGATGTATTGGTCATTGTCACACATTGACGGACGAGCTATTTAATTATTATTATGTAAAAAAAATAAAATAAAAAAACAAGAAAAAAAACAACACCCAACCCACCTGTCCCCCATGTCTTACCTAAAAAAAAACCCCACCATAACATGCGATTTGGTTCCCAGAATGCAGGCCAGTTTGAGGGTACTAGGTACCACGATCAGTCCTTCTGTTGTCATTGTAAAAACTAATCCTCCCAAAATTTTTTTTAAAAATAAATAAAAAATAAACTTGTAGGAGAAAAGAAACATTGTTTAAAGGTTACAGGGGTGGAAAAATTAGATTTTAAAAATAAAAGAAAA